TATATATATATATATATATATATATATATATATAGCATAACAAAAGCTCAAGTATAACTTAAGCTGATGTATGTCACACAATGAATATCTTACACTATTACCAGTATAATTTGGCCTTTACCAATTTATTTAATGAAAGAAACAATCTATCATCTCTAAATTGTGGTAAAGAGGCACAACAAGCTGTCTTCTTTGTCAAATATTATGTCAGTCAGGATGGTAATGGTAAAACTCAAGGATTACCTTGCACCTTTTCAGAAATTTACCATTGATCATATATATTACAAGTGGCTGGATTGTTTTTAACACAAGCAACGTTTTTTTTAAATCATTATCTTAAAGAGATTAAGGCTCATTTTGGACTACACTTACATTACAACTGCTTAATGCAGTACTGATGTATCTAGTAGTTTAGTGGGTTTAACAAATGTCACATCTGTTTTTATTCATTTCAGATGCAGAAACTTTTATACATATGAATTCATCTTGACTAAGGGTAAGGTTTTTGTTCAGAATTAATCATTATTTAAAATCATTGCATTTTCTTTGTTATTATGTACAGATTTTAAAAGAATGTACTTTCTTTTAATAAAGAACTCTTCACAGCACAGCATTTGAACAGTCACAACCTCACAGAGCTGCACAACTGCCCCACTCAGATCAGTGTTGAAGCTGGAACCTCATCTTGTGTACAGCAAAGGCAGAGCTGAAAATTCACTGTTTGTCTTGTATTGTGTGGTAAGTCATAGTTTTATTAATTTTTTAATTTTATTGCAACACTAGGTAGTCCATTCTGTGGCCAATATGATATAAAGAGCCTAACATGGGACTGACGTGATCATTGTTTTGATTTCTAGATAAGCACTTATGGGGCTACACATGCAGCTGAAGTTAGCTTCATTGAATAGGACATTTCTTTCAGTATACTCTTAAAGAGATTCACCCAAAAAATGAAAATACTGTCATTAATGACTCATACTTCACTTGTTCCAAATATGTCTGACTTGCTTTCTTCAGTTAAACACAAAAAATATATTTTAAAGAAAGATGAAAACCTGCAAACAATAACTTCCATAGTATTTGTTTTTTCCTACTATGCATGTCAATGTTTTCAGCTTTTCAGCTTTCTTCAAAAACTTCCTTCATGTTCAACACAAAGTAACTTGGAAGTTTTTAAAAAAGGTTTACAACCACTTGAGGGAGAGTAAATAGTGAACTATTCCTTTAACCCAATCTAGTTGACTTTACTAGAAAATTGTATAGAAACCCAGTGGCTTAAACCTCTTAAATTTTATACAAGGTACAACTTAACAGCCATACTTGAATTAAAATATTACTGTAAGTTCAAGAAGATTGTAAAGGTTCTAGGTTAATTTAAAGTGGCCTGTTTAGTTTCACCTTGTGTAAAAACATAAAGGGTTTAAGGCAACAGGTTTCTATGCAGTTTACACTCTTAACCCAAACTAGTTGACTTTATTAGAATAAAGTCAACTAGTTTGGGTTAAGAGTGTAATGGTTTACTGTAATAGCAGTGAATAATGCAGGCATAAAATAAATGTTTAGCCATGTAAAGCAATAAGCTTGTTATAATTTAGAAATATATTTAGGGTGGAGCACAGTATGCTATTGTAGTTTTCATATAATTGATGAGTCAAACATGAGATGTGTGTTTTCAATTGCAAGAAGTGAATTAACAATATGTTCATCAAGATTCAAATCTTGCAACTTATATATTTTTAAGGTTTTGGCCCAATAATACCCATATTCTGCTATTAAAAAAAACAAAAAACATGCTGAATTTGTGTCAGCATTTCCTTCAATGAAAACTACAGCAGTGGACATCAATGGTGATAAAAATGTATGAGAAGGATAAGGATGTTCATAATGAGAAGAGCAGTCACTATCCTGATCTCTGAGTTTGTAGAACTGACAGATCTGCTTGGAATACATGGAAACATGCTGGAAATGTTTAACCTATTATACAGTTAATTCAAGAGTGACAGGTTTAATGACACTTTACATATATAAATTAATATCACTGAACTTTCTAAATGAAACCTAACACTCATTTTTTGTTCAGTAATTACATTGTGCACTTCTAATACTTTACAGTGGCAAAACCTGGAATAACACATGGGAGCCCTCCAGGAATTCCTCACATTTTACGCCCAAGTCTCCTCATGCTAACCGGATTGCAATATGACAGTCTAGTCAGCATAAACACCTGGACTCACCAAGCACACTTTGGTTCTCAGTGTTTTGTAAAAATTGTTTTTGCTATTCTTCAGTAAATACTTGAATATGTTTTGAACTTATTCTACTTTTGATGTTTAAGTTCAGAAAGTTGTTATTATAAACATAATTTGCATTTGTCATGAACTTGACTTCTTGTTGTTGTGAAAGCTGTTTATTATAATGGCATTTCCAAAGGCATCATTTGAAAAGATTTTTTGCAGTGCAGTATTACTTCAGCTTGACATACCAGATGTATGACATAAATAAATATCACAAAATAAATATAATAATAATAATACAAAATATACATTTCCTTCAATTATAATTGTTTTTAATCATTTATATATGTATGGTAATATATTATTGCATTAAAAACTGTTATAAAATAAATATTTTTGGTTTTTGCATTTTTGCGTGATTTTTATTATTTATTTTATTTGTGGCATTATAAATAAATTATAAATATTTCATTAAAAATGTATTGTGTTTATTTGCATACTCATTTACAATGAACTACTATTTTTACTATTTAATGGGCACTATATTTGTCATTTAAGTTTGACATATATTTATATTTGTATACCTACAGGACGCAGTGTTTAGTTACAGGAAATGCTGGAAATGTTTTCAAATATTTTTATTATTTTATTATTCGTTTCTAATTTAGTATACTGCCTATGATCTGGTTTTACTATGATCATTTTGCACATCAGGAGACCCCCACAAAGGAATCTCACGGTAAATATACATTTGTATTTTTAATAAGACAATAAATAACATGTAATATTAATACACATTTTGATATTTAATTTATATTATAAGGTTATTATAATCTACCTTCAGCCGGAAGATTACCAAATAGACACAAAGTGTGACGTAGATTGCGACGTTGTGATTGGACTATAACTTCAAAGCCAAATTAAAAGATCCTTCGTGTTGCTAACTATGTTTTGCTAACTTTGCCACTTTACCAACAGTGTCCTTTATCAATGAGTTATCGCTGTGTTTCAAATAGTTACCGATTAACCAAGATCGTAACCCTAAACTTAACCCTAACTACACCTTTCAATGAACTACAATTTGTAGCGCCATGTCTTTCCCCTCCCATCTATACAGCGACAAAGGATTGTGGGTAATGTAGTTTAAAGCCTTTTTGTAATAAAATGGAACAAATACAATTTTTAATGAACTAAAGACTATCTGAATAAGGTCATTGTGCATATATTTATGACATATATGAAAGCCAGGCATAAATTTGTTATTTTACAATGATTATTTTTTTTAAACAGCTTTTATTGACTTGATTAGTATATATCAGACTATTATATTCAACATTATTTATTGAACATAGCATAGGTAATAGTCTTGCTGATATTCTCTCACTCATTTTTCGTTTGAAATGTGAATACTTTTTCCTTTTCTACGGGGCTCTACTCATCCCCTTTGAGTAAAAGGGCAGTTAACCTATGTAGATGTATTATATTCAACATGGACAAGAAATAGTATTGTCACATGTACAGTTGTGGTTAAAAAAAAAAGCTGTAAAAATAAGCTAAACATTAGTATCCTCTTTAATCACAAGTTATTAGCAATAGTGATCTATGTTCCTCACAAATATTATGAGTTCAGAATAATATGTGTGGATGTAATTCTGTAAGTGTGTTTCATTAATGGTCATCATGTGATATTTAATTGTTTTCACTTTATTTGAAATATGGATAAAAGCTCTTTTAAAATATGTGAATGTTTATAAATAAAACCTTTTTAAAGACATGTATTTGTTTAAAAACCACTCTTTATCTGATTATTTTTACTTTCTAAATCTTCAACTGTTTGTGTAACAGTATGTTTTGATGACAATGGATGAACTTGTGTTTAATAATGATTCCACATAATCTCTTTTTCCTGCATGTGGGTTAATTTGTTAATTATTTTCTTTATGATCAAATGATTGTAAGATTTGCTGCATTGTAAGAATCATGAAAATATTGAGAAATAAGGTAACAATGACGAAAAGATAATCCTCCAAATGATTAAAAATACATAGCCATTAACCAACAAAATAAAAATGCGAACATTTAAATCATCTAAACTAGAAGTAAAATAGTTCTGTGCTGTATTTATAAGTTACTGTGTAGTTCTATGTCTACTAAATATACATATTTTATTTTCATTCATTCGTTTTCTTTTTGGCTTAGTCCCTTTATTAACCAGGGGTCGCCACAGCGATATGAACCGCCAACTTTTCCAGCATGTTTTTATGCAGCAGATGCTCTTCCAGCCGCAATCCATCTCTTGGAAAATATTTTATTTTTTAATCTTGCATTCAATAAAACATTATACAAAGTTAATTTTTATTTTCAGCATAACAACAGATCTTTGATGTAAATCATAGGTTAATTTTTCCAGAGGTAGAAGTCTGGTTGCCTGACTCAGCCACATATTGACTGGAGGTATCTGAGCAGTTGACCATAATAATGTACATTTTTTGGCCAAGTATATGCAAAAATTAAATTTATCATAAAAATGTATCATAAAATTAATATTTTAAAAGCTCTTAATGTCATTAAATGTAATAATTTTATTTTAATATAGAGTTCCTTAAATCGTTATATGTTGTAAGCAGTTAGGCATACAATAATGCTCTTAATTTACAACACTGATTGATTTTAGAGGAATGCTTACATACTGTACATATCTATGTATTTAAAAAAAAGAGACAACAATTTGGTTATAGATGATGAAAATTTTATTTTATTTTTACAGATTTTATTACATGCTTTAGATTCAGGGTTAAGGTCATCCTCTTCTGGATTACAGTAAAAGAAAATCCAGTCAATGTCATACTCATCAGCTGGAGCTTTATTTAAAAAAAATCTATGTTCTCTGCTCCAGCCAAAACTTGCAGGTACCTTGCAGGTCTCTAGATTGCACCATCGTATTGTTGTTTATTTCTCAGTTATTTTGTTGCTTTTTGAGAATGATGATCCATAGACCTTTTAACCCCTCTTTGTTAGGCCACATGTCGAATCTTAAAAGAAGAACACAACAACATAAAAATATATTAATATCCTTTGGACTGGGTAACCTTATGCTTAAGTTTGAGCCAAATAATACAAATACATACCAGTACTTTTCAGTAGCAAACTAGCAGGAAAGTTCTTTGAAAAAACCAGGATGAGTTGAAAGGTATTTATAGTGGTTGGCCATCTCTGCCACAAGAATCCACTGCTTCTCCTGAAGAATCCTGACTAGCAGGATGATGTTGAACACCCTCCTCTTTGTTGCTGGGTCAGCAGAGTCTGAAATATATTAATAAAAAGAAAGTTGTATAACAAGGATTATACATCAACTTTTAAAGAATCAACACTGACAGAAGTCTAGTGTACATACCATGCCATATGATGAAGACATCCATATCACTTCTGTTTTTTGTTGTCTTTGCTTCTGCTACTGAAAAAATGACAATAATAGTAACAATTACAATTTTTCATGACTACATTTAATATTAATAAGAATTTCCTCACCGTCTGCCCACTCCTCTACATCACAGACCACAGTCTTCCAATTGGTTTCCAGTCACTGCCAGTTCCATGGATTCTGTTTTGCAACTTGCTTTGCAGAGCTGTTGCGGTCTACAATGATAAGCAATCAAAAATCACAATACTATTCAAATAGGTTACTGAACAACCAAAACAAATTCTACTGGATATCGTTACCTTCTGATATCAATAGGTCAGCGAGATGGCCAAATTGTTGAATATCTGCTAATTCCAGCACATGACCATGAGAGTTACAGTAGCATGTCTGGTCACTGCAATCCTATAGAAGAAATATTGCACTGTTCAACCTCCTTCCCAAGAGTAAAACCACACATATCCTTGTATGCCTCACTCCATTTCACCTGGTTAACATATACAAAAAAAAACAAAAACAAACAAACAAATAAGTAAACCAATAAGTTTTGGCATTTACTTGTAGATCAGTTTAAGATAATCACACAGTTCATCTATCTCAGATTTAAACTCATGTGCTTAGGCATGTAACACACTAAAATCATGGGGTTAAAGATGGTGCTGAAACTTTGGACAGCTTTTTGCAACTCTTTGGAGGTAGTGTCATTAGTTGATGTAGTCCACAAATCTTCCTGTCAATCCTTAATCCTTAGCTGTAAATAAACCTTCAAAAATGCCAGTGTTTAAAAAAGGAATGAAACAGTACAGAACAAGTTTATATCTTCTAATCTAATTTTACTAAGTGAACATCACAGAGCTGTTTTCTTGTTAATTTAGTTTCAACACATACAGTTTAAAGTACCTTGTGCATTCTTGAAATGGTTATGCTTATGGTTCATATCTACTTAAATTGGCAGTATATTTAGTGTGGAAGCAGGACAGATGAAGGGCTCTTCCTTGCAAATACTATCCACCTTGTATTGCACAGACTCCCATTAAAGAATATCTCAGAAAAAATGTCTGCTGAGATCTTAGCAGTCCATTAAAAATAATTATACCAACATCTTTTCCACCAATAAAAAGAATATAAAAATATTTTAGGATATATTAATACTTGCATGACCAAATATGAGTAAAAAGGCCATCAGTATGCCTTAGTTTAAATAAAACCAAAATTTGACTCTAGTCCACTGTCACCTAGGTCTACAGATACAGGGACTAATGGAAGCAATGAAGTACACACTGACAGTCACTGGAGCAAGGCTCCCTCACAGTTGGGAAGATTGGAGTTCCTATGAGCTGTACCAGATAAAAACAAAAAATTTACATTTATAACATTTCCAACTTATCCTAAGACTAGTAGACAAGCAGCATAAGCAGACTTTTAATTTCCTAAACCCCAATGTGGACAGTTGATGGCCTATAAGGTGTCATAAAATCAGACAAAACAAAATACTTTCTGATAAAGAAAAAAATGGTTGGCCACTATCAACACCCAGAACAAATAGGTTTAAACAAGGCCACGATATTTTGTGAGCTTATGCTGTAGTTTTTTTAATGTTTGTCATAAACAATAGTAATAGTAAAACTAATGTGTCTCTTTCTGTTATTACAATAGTAGTGAAAGAATAAATACATTTTATCTCACACAATCATATATGCCTAAACAATGTAGATATCTAATATACATGGAATGAAAAACTTCACTAACCCTTGACTGATTCCAGAGTGGTCTTGGCCTTCCTTACATGGTGGTTTTTCCTGCAGATCATCAAGTTGTCATCAAGACTTAAGCTTATAATTGAGATCTTGATGATCAATCTGAGTGGTGATAGGCAGAAACAGGCTGAAAGACACAAGAATTAATCAAACAAATACAAATGTGTTAACAGAGATAGAGAGAGAGACAAGTGCAATTTAACATATAAACATGTGTAAAGTGATTTTACTTTTTGCTTATTAGAAAACAAGATTGGATTTTTAAAGAAATCTAAAGAACCTGAAAAGAGCAATGAAAAAATATTCATATCTGAACAGTGAACACCTTATAATTTACACCTATATATATATATGTGTGTGTGTGTGGTAGATTAAGCTGTTTTTTTGTTTAGTTTTGTGTTGTACAATGAATAAAATGTGCTCAGACTGGCAAAATTTCTGCCTTTTTCCCAAAATAATTGTTTTTACAATAAACCTTTGAAAACACTTGATGTTCTTTAATATTGAAACAATTACGAATACATTTGTATTATTAGAGTTGCATATTGTATATTATATATAGATTTTGCACGAATTGTATTGTGGAAAACAACAATCTGGTTACTGTTCCTTATCTTAAAATGTATATATTGTTCTAATGCATGACCAACGTTATATGTGAGAAAATGTGTTTTTAATAAATAAACTTGATGTAATTAGATAACGTCACTAGTTTACAGTACATGCTTTATCAACAAATCGTCTTTATTTGTTTACTTTTTACTTACCTTGTGGAAAACCGCAGTGAACCTTGGGATCGCAATGAACCTTGGGATAGCGAGCATAGACTGTAAAAAATAGATCGCCACATACAATGACCCCAACTTCAATGAATCATTTAAAATGAAAAAAATATCAGCCAAAAACATTTTTAATCTTAGTACTTGAAATGCAATATTTTTTAAAGTAAAAAAAAAACAATAAATAATATGAATAAATCAAAGTTTTATTAGGCATAGTTACCCTAAACTGGGAAACCAAATATAATTTCACTCATTAAATATAAAGTAAATGATAACATATTTATAAACACCAACTAATCTCCAATAAAAATAGATTATGCAGCATTAACATACTATTTAATGTTGACAGTTGAACTCATCTGAGAACTCACCGCTGATGCAGTTTGACCAATAGCAGAGCGACGTTAAACTCACCGTGAAGAGATGTCACGTGGACCGAAGTTTATTCATACAGTAGTTTCGACCCAGTTTACAGACGCTTTTCATGAACAAAATAAAAATTACATATTTTTAAAATAAGAAAACTGTGATAATAGGCGTAAACCAGGTTTTAAAAAGTGCGTTGACATCTATTGGTAATTATACGAGCCTCCAGCGTCTCCCTATGACGCCTCAGGCTCAGGCACAGATTCTATAGGGAATCCCTGCACGTCTAAATATGACGCTAAAGGGGTACCCTGTGCGTCAATAACTTACGCCGAGGGTTCCTGACCAAGCGTCAGTATGTGACGAGTTGGGAGTGAGAACGTGTTGGCTAATACTATATCTGAGATCAGTAAGCATATTTACAGTAGATTTGCTCTTGGTTTTAATTTGTTTAAAATAAATTAATAATACAGAAAATAAATATTTAATTACTTATCAAGTGCGAATGTGTGTCTTAATTACACCAAGTTACACCAAATGTACAACATTTTAACTAATAAGATTGATTTTAAACGGATAAAAGCAATGTTCCTTCTGCTAAACCAATTAAGAACTTGACATTACTTGGTTCATTTAAATGAATGCAGACTCAAAAGGAAAGTTAATCAAAAAAGTTTTACTTAATTATTTAAGGAGTGTTAGATTAAACATTAAGTACATTTTCACATTATATTGACAAGTTAATTGTACCTGATTTAAGAGAGTAAAATTTACCTAAAATTTGTTTGTGCAAATTGTTATGAGGATTTTTTCTAAAGTAAATACATTTTTTTTACTGTACAAAAAGTATTTTCTTGTCTCGTTTCTAGTCCAAATATCAAAACATTCTAAAATAAAGAAGCTATTTCAAGACAACCAGTGAATATTGTCTTGTTTTCAGAAATAATACATGAACATTAATTAAGTCTTTCTTTAAAACAAGCAAAAAATAATCTGCCAATTAAGGGGGCCATTTAAAATAATCTTGCATATCATTTGAAATAGGATTATTTTGCTAACGCCACTGACAAATTATTTGTAATGTAATTAATGTATTTATTTTACATATCCCTATTTTTTACAGCAATATTTTATATATATTTTCCCTTAAATCAGGTTAGACATTCTGTTCAGACTATTTTTTTTTGTTCCTCGTGTTAAAATATCTTTTGGTAAAAGAGCTTTTATCATTTAACTGTTAATATTCAATTAATTGCATAATTAATGCAAATGCAAACCCTGTTGTCATACGTTGGACTGTACATGTTTTTCTTAAGGATACTGTTGTTTATATTGTGTTTTTATATATTTTATTAGTTTCTCTCTCTCTCTCTTTCTCTCTCTCTCTCTATGATAAACTTGATGCTTTTTTCCCTGCTTCTGCTAACGTTTAACGCTTTGTTGTTGTTTCTTGAACATTTTGTAATTTGTGTTTTGTTTTCTTGTTTTTATTATCATTTTGTGATAGCGATAAATTGTGGTAACCTGAGATCTCATGGGATTTGTTCCAAGAATCAAATTCAAAATCAAATTTTGCTAATAATAATAACAATAATAATAATAAGAAGAAGAAGTAGAAGAAGAAGGTTAGTGTAGGCTGCATTCAGCTGTTTGTTAAGACATTTCTTTCTGCAAGCTTTACATTTAATTAGAGACAATGGACTTTTCATTGGGCTTTATTTTACAAAAGCAACCGACTAGAAGTACATTATCCCTTACATAATAGAGGAACTATAATGTAATGAACTAGAGCTGTTGTTATTCTGCTATAGGACACTTGGTTAAATATGGATGCTGCATAAATGGCCACAAAATGTAAAAAATACTAAGAGTAGAAATAGTCTAGCATTGTTTATTTGCAAATAACATTTTAGTTTGGTACTATATATCTAATGCTGTTAAATTCGAACTTGGTTTAACCCTCCTGTTGACTAACAGGTGAAAAATGACTTGGGCACCATTTTAACAGCAGAAAAAAAACCTAAACAATGTTTTTGGTGAAAAAAACAACAACAAAAAACAACAGCAATAACAACAAAGTTTAGAGACCTAAAATGACCAAACATTAGAAAGAAAATCATTTTCTATTTTAATAATTTCTGTTGTTAACATTACATGACAAGATTTGACACATTTGATTCTATACCAACAGTTATCAATCAATTTAATAATAATAGTAAAAAAACAACAACAAAAAAAAAACATGTATTTTCAGCATTGTTTAGTTCAGCTAAAAATCCTTTTTACAGTTATTTAAGGACAGAAACCGTGTCTTCACATTACAGAATCAGAGTTTCATGTGTTTGCATTTCAGGACAGCCATTATTTGGTAAACAGCAAGCTGCATTTAATTCTCTCCCATGATTTCAGCTGCCGCAAAACTCATTAACAGCCCCCAAAAATAATTAGCGTTGCGGGAAGGAAACAAACAAAAAAAAAGGACCCAGAGGTAAAATTATGCATTCAAAGTTTTGTTTGTTTTTCTGTTGTGCTTCTGAGTCTAAGAACAAGGCTTTATTCTAGTGTCACAAACAGAAGATCCACATGCTGAGCAAACATCTGTGAGTCTAATCTACAGGAGAAACCATAAAGAAAAGATTTAAACACACAGTTTACCTAAAAAAAAGGAACATGCTGTCAATATTTACTCATCGCTATGTTTTTCCACACTTTTGAAATAATGTGAATCACCATGCAATCACAATTAAAGTAATTATTGGAGATTTGAGTCTTAAAAAGAGATGCAAAAGAACAATAAAAAAATAATCATAAATAAATGTCATCTAATAAATAAGCTAAAATTAAGCTTAAATCAGCTGAGACTCTTTGAAAATATGTGTAATATATTTCACTTATGTCTCGTTTCCAATAAGTGGTATGGTTTAGTTTGGTACGGGTCACGTTTATCAGGCATGTGTCTCCACTGCCAATCGGTAATAATGGTACCTTTTTGGTGGGCGTGGTGTATGACAGAAAGTTCTTCATTCTTGCTCGAGGAAATGTAAAAATATATACAGGTCGTTCACAGATGCTTTAAATAGGCCTACTTGTGTTCAAATGTTAAAATCTAACCTTTCTATGAACAGGATTTGGTTATAACTCCAGATCAATGTGAATAGCCCAGTGGTCCCCAACCTTTCATCACCGCGGACCGGTCAACGCTTGACAATTTTACCATGGACCGGTGTGGTGGGACGTGACGCTATAGTTCGTAGGTTGCTAGATGACCATCAACCATTTTATCAGAGGATGACAAGCTAACAAAACATTGCTGTCACTCTGATACAAGTTTTATTCATGGAGAAAATTATAAAGCACTGCAGTGTTTGGGTGTTCTGTGTTTGCCTGAGATGATTAGTCAACCGAAATTTGTATATTCCATACAAGCTGAAGCTGATCGGGTGCGCTCTTGGCATTCATTCAACTGGGGGAGTCTGGAAGGCGCAAGTGTGTCACGCGGCTTGCTCAGACAAGCCGCGTACCTCCATTGGAAATAACAAACTTGCAGGGACTCTATAAAAGACGCGATATGCGAACAGCGCCTGATTTGCTAACAAATGGGTTGTGGATACTTGGCAGTTTGCGAGTCCTTCCCCTTCACAAAGAAACTTTCCAAAGACATCTGTTTCTTACTCATTTTGTGCTTGTGGGTTAAATTTAGGTGCTTAAGTAACCGAGATGTATGCGAGAGAATACTGTCATTTTTCAAACAAAAGATTTCATCAAAATAAAATATCATTAAGACTAAGATAATAAACAAAGCGGAAATAATTAATGATTTCTAGCGCAACCCGATACCAATTGATTCCCGGACCAGTACCAGTCCGCAGCCCAGTGGTTGAGGACCAATGAAATAGCCTACATTGTAAAAAAAACTCTGTAAGTTTACACTTTATTTCCTGCAACTGGGGTGCCAGAAAAAAAACGTAAAATAACGGCCGTTAAATTTCAGAAATTTACTGTAAAATAACAGAGGTTGAATTACAGAAATTTGCTGTAAAATATCAGACATTAAATTTCAGAAATTTACTGTAAAATAACAGAGGTTGAATTTCAGAAATTGCGATCAGTGTTTATTATTTATGTTTATTTAGATGACAAAGTTAGTTCAAGTTAGATTACTATTGTTACTATTACTAGTACTAGCTATGACTGTGTAAATTAATAACATACATTCAAAATATTGAAAAAGCTTTTTTTGTGTTATATTTTAGTTCCAGACACTTTTGGTAAAACAAATCAAGATACACAAACAATATATATATATATATATATATATATATATATATATATAACAAATATTTAACCCAACTGATTGAGTTAATAATATATAACCCAATAAAGGTTAAAAATAACCCAATAAAGCACCAAATATCAGTCCAGGGCAGTCTTTTGAGTGCCTTGGACTGATTTCTGTTGTTGTTTTGATGAATTACTTATCCAAAGATCACCGACCAAATATTTGAGTTACCCCTGAGCCCTTTTTGTTTGTTTTTTGGATTAAGCGCCAAATATGTTTAACTCAACCATAAGTTTAAACAAATAACTCAACGTTGTTAAAGTGGTAAATGCCTATAAATGCAAAATTTGTCCTCTTTTACTGTAAATGCATGTAAGAAAATGCTAATTTTCTTCTCCCACAGAAGCTGAAAATCTCTGAACGTGTCTTCTGAATGTCATCATGATGAATTTTTAGTTCATTTTTTAAGGTATTTTATTTTTTATTCCTTTAAGAATCACCTCATAAGAACAGAATAAACATGAGGAGATCCATGTGTTGAGTGAGCTACTCTAAAGTCATATAAAACACTAGGCAGAGTTTAGATCAGGAATAAAAATGATGCTTGTGTATAAGCTTCACATAAATCAGAAGCGAAGTATACGGTTTATAAAAAAAGTGAGTTTTAAGACTCTCTGGAAATACATTTCTGTGCTTGAAGAAACAAGGCAAATTTGTGATGTTCTTGCTGAAATTGGCTGTCCTCATAAATATGTCATTGGATTTGGGAACATAAATATATTGGGATATATTCAGGAAAGCGCATGGGTTTGTGAAATGCCATCAGAGCTTAACAGCAATTGCTTGTATTTATTCCAGGGAGATTTTGAGATCTGAGCGCATTTTATGCACTTACAAATGGAGGTGAAAGGTAACGGTAAATCTTTTAGTACTGAGGCAGACAGGCATACCAATGCTGTACCTGACAAACAGTGGAAATATTCATTGAGCAGATATATCACGCCTCATGCATGTGTGAAACTTTAAACCGTGAGATCATGTGAAAACAAGCTTCGTCTAATAAAACGTGGCATTATTCTGTGATGCGAGATCTGCAAATAGAGATGGTGATGCTCACTCCAGTATGGTAATGCTTAATATTGCATATTTTAACAGTATAAGGGACTGCTTATCACGCTGAAAACTTCTCAGGTTTATTTAACGAGTTCATTTCTCTATAGACACATAATTCAAAGTCTGATTTTATTATTGGCATTATTAATAGTGAGATTTTGTGTGTGCCTGAATTATTAGGGTTGGGTATTGTTTGGGGTTATTTCGATAACAGTGCTTAATTGATACTTTTAAAATGATACCGGTGCCAAAACAGTGGCCAAAATGATACTTTTGAGCCAAAAAATTATGGCTTTTATGATAAATATTTTTTATCATTTTAATTGAACAATATAATTAAGGTTTAAAGTAAACATCAATATATATTTTATATATTTGAATTGCATTAATATATTTCTTTCAATAATTTGTTTGTTAGCATGAATTTAAGATTTGCATTATGCAATTAACATTATGTTAGCTTAATACTAACCTGTAATTTTTTTTTTCTAGGGTTAGGGCTTGTAACTTTATTTACATGGACATTAGTAATCTAATTATTTGCCTTAATCAGAAAAAGACAGTATGATTACATTTGGTGTTATGTAAGGTGTTTACATTAGTTGATTTTTAAATGTTTTTGAATGTCAGTGGTCCTTTAAGATAATCAAAAAAAGTTGTTTTCTTGGTAGACTCTTAATCAGAGTATTGTCTTAATCAGAGTATTGATGTCCATATAAACGTACTCAGTAAAAGTGCTAGATGAGGTTGCAAGCTGTCAAAGACAGTGCATTCCTCTGCCTTTACTTTGATTCCATGCGCCCTCAAATGTTTCATTAGGTTGGTATGATTCCCCCCTTACACACAAGCTGAGTCAGAATCCTTGCTTGTAAAAAAAAAAAAAAAAATAGCCATACTTTGGAACCTTTAGTTTAAGCAAATTTGATTTATGCGTGTTGAAGAATCGGATTGGAGTTGCTCACTGGATGCGCTGTACTGTGCGCATTGCCAACACGGGGAGAACATGCAAACTCCACACAGAAATGCCAACTGACCCAGCCAGAGCTCAAACCAGCGACCTTCTTGCTGTGAGACGACAGTGCTACCCACTGCGCCATAGCGCCGCACTTTGTGGACTTATGTGAAATGACGTACTGAAACTTGACACCCCCAAAAAAAAAAAAAAAAAAACTGTTTTTGATTTGTATTTAAAGTTTACAATGCAAATCCAATTAGATCCACTTGTTTGGTAAACAAAGCAAGTTTTTCATATAATATATCCAGTAAACGACAATGTAAATAAATTATTTAAACATTTGCATACTATTCAATAATATAACTGATAATAATATGTAAACTAAATAAATATTCATACAATTTCATAAATTAACAGACTTTTTTTTTTTAAAATCTGTGTCAATTCTTTATAGGCTTAATCATAATTTATTAAACTAAGTTAACAGGGTTTCTAGCTTATTTCTTTAAATTATACAAGTTGATTTACGTCAGTTTAACATAATTTAAGTTAAACCAAGGTTACTTTGATTCAGCTAAAAAGTTGAAGAGTGTGTGTGTGTGTGTTTTGAATATGCTTCATTTCTTTCTCTAATCTGCCCTGTAAAGCGGGTATTTGCGACAAAATGAGGCTGAAGTTCACTGAGAAAATGAGGAGGAAAGGAGGGAAAGAGCGTTTGAGAGTGAAGTACAGTGAGCAGCGGAGACGATGGAGATGAATAACTGTAAGTAACTTTTTACTCTGTAGAATGTGTTGAGTGAGGTATCTTGAAGATGGTAATGCTATTGCTATGCGAGAACTAGAATAGCGTGTGATTTGAAGAATTATTGAAAACATTTACACTGTAAGAAGAAAATCTTATTATACAAATATTATTTATATATTAACACAATACACTGGGCTTTTATTTGTTGTGGCACAGGGTTCAATGTTTTGAATGTGTTGAACGTTTACAATTCTGGTAGCAATTAACGTCATTAAATGAATTGGTTCCAACTATTTCCCCTCTCCTTTGAAATTTGTTTTCAGTTATAATGTATTTTTTCCATTAATTTGCTCGTTCATTTGTCAGCTCGTTCACTCAAATGTTTCGATTAAATATATATTGTTTTATAATTTGATACAATACTAAATAACTTAATATTCACTTTATCAGCTTAAATGAAAGTTATAAGTGCTATATATAAGCTGAAATATAATATTCATATTTTTGTTCCATTCCAGTGTAAACAATACTAATTGAAAATGATTTTAGCAAAAATTCTAATAAAATTTTATATTATTTGTAAAATATTTTTAAGTTTAATATATATATATATATATATATATATATATATATATATATATATGCTTGGGTGGTAATACAGTAATATGGTATTCCACGGGATCTAAAAGTAGCAATGGTGTCAGTTTCAATACCGTTATACCGTCATAAAAAACAATGCACTTAAATAGGAGACAAATATTAAATATCCTTTATTTAATGCCTACAAATGCGTATGCGTGATTTTTATCATGGGACACTGTGGAGGAGAGAGAGAGAGAGGGAGAGAGAGGGAGAGGTGAGGTGGCGAGTCGCGCACCAAGTGACCTGCAGTTTGGCAGTATTTCCAACCGAAGTGACCTGCAGTTTGGCAGTGTTTCAACCGAACGAGAAGGGAGACATGGTAAATACGAACTAGATGTCTGCATTCCTGCTGCTGTACCGCAGGAGCCAACCAGATTTCCGGCGATGGGGGAATAAATTTCCGAATAAAGCGCGGGAGCAGTCGGTACCTCTGGTGTAATTTGAAAGGGAGCGCATGTGAGGTCTAACAATATCGAGTGAGCGTGTGGTGTGTGTGTGTGAATGAGAGAGAGCATCCTGCGCAGATCTCTAATACAAACGAGACAAACAGGTGACCGTGAACCTAAGGTCGCATATACAGTATTCAGTTTCTGAATGGTTTAGGTTCAAGCCAACAGTTTGGTGATGCTGTCTGAGCCTAACATCATAATTTTTTTATTATGCACGGTAATACCAGATACCGGGGTAAAATAGGTGTATATACAAACACACACACACACACACACACACACATATATATATATATATATATACATACACACACACACACACACACACACATATATATATATATATATACATACACACACACATATATTTATATATATATATATATATATATATATATATATATATATATATATATATATATATATATATACATACATACACACACACACACACACACACACACATACACACACACACACATATATATATATATATATATATATATATATATATATATATATATATATATATATACATACATACATACACACACACACACACACACACACACACACACACACACATATATAAACACACACACACATATACATATATATATTTATATATATAAATATATATATATATATATATATATATATATATATATATATATATATGATTATGTACTATAGAATATATATATACTCATACATACACACACACACATTTACACAGTCAATCAGTTTTTGTAAATAAAAGGTAAATAAAAGCTGAGATTTTTCCACAATCATGCCTCTGGTACATCGTCTTATCTTCTTGGAGAAGCCTGTGTCATTTCTGGTCTAAAAAACTAACTTGCTGATTGAATACAAGTAACTTTAATTGCCTTTGATTAAGTCCACAGTCGTACTATTCACTCACACTCATGTGGTTCTAATCGTTTCTTCTTTTGAACACAAAGAATTTATTTTGAAAAAACTGTTCAAACCTGGAACCGTTGACTTCCATGGTATTTGTTTTTAGTACTGCGGAGGTTTTGCAGATTTTCAGCCTTTTTAAAAACATCTTTTGTGCTCCTCAGAAAAAAGAAATTCAAGCAGGTTTTTGATAAGTGAATGATGAGTAAATAATGACCTTTCAGTTTTAGTTATACTATCACTTTAAAATAACGTATATTCCAATAAATCCCTGTCTCTCCTTTTCTCTCCTCCTTAGTGCACAGTATAATTCGGCCCTACAAGCCCACAGATAAGTCTGCAATTGTCTCCCTCTTCCGCTTTGGCATACTGGAGCATATTTACCCAGCTTTCTTCAAGGCCATGAGCCACCAGGACCACATCGGGGTCACCCTGAGCGTCTCCGTGGCCGGATATGTGCTCGGAGGAAGTTCGTACTTCCAAGCCTTTCTCTTCGGTGGAGCTTGGGCCTGTCTGGTCTACTACTGCTGCCACGAGATCTACCAAAGCCACCTCAACCGCAAGCTGGAGCTGGAAATGGCTGATATTCAAGCTAACTTCTTGGATAACCAGGACAATAAGTTCTGGGTGTTGGAAACGGAGATGTACGGGAGGACAAAAGTGTCCGGGATGCTGGCTGTAGTGGGTGCAAAGGCTGATGTTTTGAATGCTGATAATGCAGCAGAGGTGTTTCAGTTGATCGTGTCTTTCCAAAAGAGACGCAAAGGATTGGGAACGCAGTTGGTAGAGAAAGCCATAGAGTTCTGTAAGGAGCAGGGACTTTCTTGTTTGGCTGTAGAAGTGAGTTCTCCACAAACCGCAGCTATTTCTCTTTTCCGCAAACTGGGCTTTATTGAGACTTCAGTGCACAACAACACACACTCCAACCATTTGTTCTCTAAACTGGCCCGGATCAACGTGATACGAATGGAGAAGCATCTCTGAAATGTGATGTTGAAGCTTTGCCACATAAGTCAGAATTAAATCTTCTGTTTATTCAGCAACTGCTAATTTACCCAGGGATTTCCTGGGTTTATATTTGCATTATTTGGTTAGTGAGTTTTCGCATTACTACAAATCATATTGTGCTTCCTTGAAAAGATGTGCACGCAATCGCAGCTTTCAATGCGATATAGGACAACAATAATGTCTTTGGCTTGAAGTAATGCTGTGTCACTTCAAAAACTAGTTTTTGTATCTTATTTCACAAGCTGTTCTGGAAAAAAAGTGAATGTTGAAAAAGATGATTATGATATCTTACGCGAGGCTTTGGATTCTCAGATTAGAAATTAATTGCACTTTAATGAAAATACAGATATACACTCACCGGCCACTTTATTAGGTACACCTTACAACAACCGGCTTGGGCCCCCTTTTGCCTTCAGAACTGCCTTAAAGGTGCAGTAGGTGATTGTCTTCAAAAACATTTTTTGTTGTGCTGGTTGAAAGTCTCTTCACAGTCCAATCGTATAATGATTACAGTAAATGATCTAAATGTGTTTATATGTATTTTTATATTCAGGGTAAAGCATAAAACTAAAAAATGTTCATCCAAATAAATAGAGTCAGACCGTCATCTCCCTTAATTCCGATAGGCAGGTCAGACTGTCTGTCAGCAAATGTAGATTCCGACTTCTGCGCATCTGTTCACGCAGATCCGCCATTAGCGCGTGCCCGTCTGCATCACAAACGCATGCGCGAGCGAGCTGCGGGCCGCTCGCAGATGCCGAGTCGAAGCCAGAGGTGCCGAAGGACAGCCGAGCTCGGGCCGATTACTGTAAAGCCAGGCGCGGGTATAATTCGCCCTTAAAGCGGCCGCGCGGTCAAGAGACGGGAGAAATCAAATGCTGCATTGAAACTTTTGAAAATCCTGAATCAATATTGGATTTACTTTAGCATGCTGTAGAAAAGACGAGACCATGGCTGAAGTATTACTGTTAGACAGGTAATGTTTTGATTTGATTTGGTTTGATTTATATGCACAGACATGTTGTTCAGCCACTGAAATCTCCTAGTGAAAGATTAATGTGATTATTTTCAGTTTCATAAGGTTCTTTGACAGCATCTATAATGTAGATTTATATTTAGTTTAACAACAAAACACCAGTAAATAGCGCTATTCCGCCTAACCTGCTTTATTGAGCTGAAGTTGCTTTTATATTCACATTGGGTCATTTTTGAATAATGACAGCCTTCCTGTACTGTTTACCGCTAACGTTACTCTGAATATTCGCTCTGAAATAGCATGTAAGTGTGGCTAAGTAATAAATGTAATTCCTGCACGGTGCTGGCACTAACTAACTGGCCAATGACATGAACTAGTGGGTTGTCTGTCTGCTGTTGTGATGCGGTGCGCACGCTCGCGATATAAGGGGGTGTGGCTTTGAATCACAGTCCCTCCCCGCCGTCCAAAGATAATATGCTAAGCGGTTAGCATTTTGGCAGATCACCTACTGCACCTTTAATCCTTTGTGGCAGAGATTCAACAAGGTGACTGTGGAGGCCATTTGAGTACAGTGAACTCAAAAGCCCCTTTCACACAGTGATGCCGGTAAATTTCTGGAAAATTTCCAGAACGACTTTACCGGTATATTGAAAAAAGCGCTGTTCACACAGGCGAGGACGTTACGGAAATTTTCCGGAAAAGAGCATTCACACATCTATTCCAAAATACCGGTAAATTCTGACATCATTCACCACAAATGAGCTTTAAACGACTGCGCTTGTATTTGTAAACATTTGACTAAATTACAAACTCTGTGGATGATCAATATTGTGAACAACTTTCGCAGGATCACTTTCGCATGTCGAGATGTTCATAATATGTGCGTGTGCGGCGCTCATAGGCGCACGCAAAGCTTGAAGGTAAACAAACAACGGCTTATCATAAGCATCTCATCGATGATTATTTACACAGTTGGCATTAAGAAGAACATATAAACGTGATCTGACTAACTTCTAGCAGCTAAATGTGTCTGGAAAAATATTCAAAGGCTTTTATCCTCACAAACCGTGCGGACGTAAATGCGTCTGACTGTTGTGATTGGCTAAAGCAGACGTCTCACGTCAGCACGTTCTAGACGTGCACGCGCTTATTACGGGAATCTTCCTTCTGTATTCACACAGCGCAGCATTCCGGCAAATTGCCGATAATGTTACAACTTCTCTTTCCGGAAAATAGCCAGAACGAATTTACCGGTATTTTCAAAAAGGATCTGTTCACACATACAACCTTTCCGGAAAATTGCCGGCAATTTTCCGGAAAGGTCTGTTTGTGTGAAAGGGGCTATTGTCATGTTCAAGAAACCAGTCTGAGATGATTCGCCAGAATACTCAATTGGTACTAAAGGGTTCAAAATGTGCCAAGACACTATCCACCACACCATTACAACACCACCATCAGCCTGAACCGTTGATGCAAGGCAGGATGGATTCAAACTTGCTGTTGACACCAAATTCTAACCCTACCATCCAAATGTCGCAGCAAAAATGCCGCTCACTGGATATTTTCTCTTTTTCTGACCATTCTCAGTAAACCCTAGAGATGGTTGTGCGTGAAAATCCCAGTAGATCAGTACTTTCTGAAATACTCAGACCAGCCCGTTTGGCACTGACAACCATGCCACGTTCAAAGTCACTTAAGTCACCTTTTTTCCCCATTCTGATGATCGGTTTGAAACTGATCATCAGAAGCAGATTGTCTTGACCATGTCTACATGCCTAAATGCATTGAGTTGCTGCCATGTGATTGGCTGATTTGCGTTAACAAGCATTTGGACAGGTGTACCTAATAAAGTGGCCAGTGAGTGTACATCACATATCGCCTTTCATCCCCAAAATACTGAATTACTGAAATGGTAAATATCGTCCAGCCCTGCTCTCAACAATAGATGTCACTATATCCTGCAATTTTACCTTTTTTTGGTAGTTTTTCTAACTTAATATCTTGCATTGACAATTTGCTGTCGAAAAAGAAAACATTATCACTTTAAAGACAAGCAGCTTAAATCATGTCAGTTTAAATCAAACGTGACGTTATATGGAAACTAAACGACCACAAGTGAAAAATAATACTGGTATTATTGTTTGCTTTCTGTAATATAAACAGAAGCTGAGGTGTAAAACGTTATATAAAGTACTTTTAGCCATCAGAAAAAGGTTGAGACTCATTGCTTTAAAGGAATTTGTGCCAGATGACCCATATGACCCAAACTTAAATCTTAAAATACCAACGAAATGCAAAAGTGGCAGGAGATTTAACATTCCTGAAGAAACTGTGACCTCGTGAGCCTATTGTGTCGATTAGAATAAAAGCTCTTGTGTTTACAACCATGCAGCAGGGAGCCAAATCCTTGTCCATTGAAGAAACACAGTTATTTACTCATCAGTAATAGTACAGTGTTATTTTATCGTATTTTCAAATTTTCCCAAAATAAAATATATCTGCTGCTTCCGAAATCACCTACTACTCAGTAGGTACTGCATTTAAATTTGAATGTACTACTCGACCGATAGAAAAGTACATTCTATACAGGGTGGGCTATTTATATGGATACACCTTAATAAAATGGGAATGGTTGGTGATATTAACATCCTGTTTGTGGCACATTAGTATATGTGAGGCGGCAAACCTTTCAAAATGGGTGGTGATCATGGAGGCCATTTTGAAGTCGGCCTTTTTGGATACAACTTTTGTTTTTTCAATAGGAAGAGGGTCATTTAATACATCAAATTTATTGGGAATTTCACAAGAAAAACAATGATGTGCTTGGTTTTTAACTTTATTCTTTCATGAGTTATTTACAAGTTTCTGACCACTTATAAAATGTATTCAAAGTGCTGCCCATTGTGTTGGACTGTCAATGCAACCCTCTTCCCCCACTCTTCACACACCGATAGCAACACTGCAGGAGAAATGCCAGCACAGGCTTCCAGTATCTGTAGTTTCAGGTGCTGCACATCTTGTATCTTCACACCATAGATAGACAATTGCCTTCAGATGACCCCAAAGATAAAAGTCTAAGGGGGTCAGATCGGGAGACCTTGAAGGCCATTCAACTGGCCCACGATGACCAATCCACTTTTCAGGAAACTGTTCATCTAGGAATGCTTGGACCTGACACCCATTATGTGGTGGTGCACCATCTTGCAGGAAAAACTCAGGGAACGTGCCAGCTTCAGTGCATAAGGAGGGAAACACATCATCATGTAGCAACTTCAAATATCCAGAGGCTTTGAGGTTTCCCTTGATGAAGAATGCACCCACTATCTTTGTTGTCCATGGTGTGAAGATACAAGACTGTGCTGGCGCTTCTCCTGCAGTGTTGCTATCGGTGTGTGAAGAGTGGGAGAAGTTGGTTGCATTGACAATCCAACACAATGGGCAGCACATTGAACACATTTTATAAGTGGTTAGAGACTTGTAAATAACTCATGAAAGAATAAAGTTACGTTAAAACCAAGCACACCATTGTTTTATAAAATCTTTATAAAATAAATTTGATGTGTCAAATGACCCTCTTCCTATTGAAAAAATAACATTTGTATCCAAGATGGCAGACCTCAAAAAGGCCACCATTGTCACCACCCATCTTGAAGTTTGTCCCCTCACATATACCAATGTGCCACAAACAGGACGTTAATTTCACCAACCATTCCCATTTTATTAAGGTGTATCCATATAAATGGCCCACCCTGTGCAGTATGAATGTGAGTAGTATGAATGGAGCTCAGACGTAGTACTGATGCCAATTTGTCACCATCACGTGACAAACCCGCTTCACTGCCATTCATGAATTCTCTCTCCTCTTTTAGCATACTTTTGTATGGAAAAAAATGCAATTTCAGATGCAGCCATTGTGTTTAAATAATAAAATATATTATTTTAGAGCATTAATCACAACACCGTGAAACCATGATATTTTTATGCAAGGTTACCGTTAAAATCTCATACCGGCCCACAGGCCCGGATTAGCTAATCGGGAGGACCGCGAGAATTCCCGGTGGGCCGGTCCGTTTTTTGGCCACGAGGGCTGGTGTCCGTAGCTCCAGAATCTGTTGCTCTCAGCAGTCACCTTTATTAAAAATAATTTATTTATTTACTTGACCACAGCCTTCTTATTCATTATTTTACCGCAGCTCTGCTCTTTTTATCTATTTTCTCTTAGCCTCGTGAGCAAGATGCAGCCTGCAGGTGAATGATGATATAACTAAATACAGTACAGTGGTACAGTGGTTAGCACATTAGGTTATAACGCCGCCAACCCGAGTTCGGTCCTCGTTTGAGTAACATTTTTTTTTTTTTCATTTTTATTGTTAAGACATATAATACTGTTAGAGTTGTTGA